GCTGACCCGAGCAAGAACGGCACGGGGGTTAGGGGAGGAGTCAGGCTGCGGGAGCCAGCAGGGGGAGGTGGGGAGGGCAGGGGGTCCTCCTGAGGGGAGAGGGCAGGGCAGGGTCCCCCTGAGGTGGGGCGGGGGGTGGGTCCTCATAAGGGGAGGAGGGGAGGGAGGGTCCCCCTGGAGGGGTGAGTGGAGATGAGGGTCTCTCTGGGGGAGATGGCTGGGGCAGGCCCCCCTGAGGGGGGAGGGGAGGGGAGGGTCCCCCTGAGGTTGGGAGGGGGTGGGTCCCCATGAGGGGAGGAGGACAGGGAAGTTCTCTGTGGGGTGAGGTGGGGAGGGCTGAGGAGGGGCCCCCTGACTTGGGGAGGGGGGGTGGGTCCTCATGAGGGGAGGAGGGGAGGGAGGGTTCCCCTGGAGGGGTGAGTGGAGATGAGGGTCTCTCTGGGGGAGATGGCTGCGGCAGGCCCCCCTGAGGGGGGAGGGGAGGGGAGGGTCCCCCTGAGGTTGGGAGGGGGTGGGTCCCCATGAGGGGAGGGGGACAGGGAAGTTCTCTGTGGGGTGAGGTGGGGAGGGCTGAGGAGGGGCCCCCTGACTTGGGGAGGGGGTAGGGAAGCGGGCACTGCAGGCTGGTGGCCGGGGGAGCCTCCCCGGGAAGGGATAACTGCCTTTGAGAATGAGGGGAGGCCAGTTAGAGCCGGGCTGCACATTCGGAGCTGTGCGGGCACTGGCCGCAGCATGTGCAGAGGTCCTGGGGCCTGCGTGTCCCAGCGTGTCTGAGAGGCAGCAGGTAGGCCAGTGGCTGCAGAAGTCTTGCGTGCTGGGGGCCTGGACGTCCTATCAGTGAGCAACGGTACGACAGGTACTGCCGAGTGAGGACCAGGGCTGGTGCCGCAGGTGCCATGGTGTGTGCGGGGAGTCAGCGTGGCAGGTGCCGTGAGCGGGGGTTGGTGCCACAGACCCACAGGAGTGGACATGACAGAGAGCCCAGGGGTCAGTGGTGCGGCTGTGGAGGTTGGCAGGACAGGGCCATGGGGGCTTTTGAGAAAGTCTGAGCATTTTAGGGGGCCGCCCTCCCTGCACAGCTGGGAACTGTCGGCAGGGAGGGAGGTGAAGATGGAGGCGCTGGCCCCCACGTGACCCTGGCCGAGAGCAGGGCGGTGTGGCCCAGGCAGGGCGGTGGATGTGTGGATGCCGGAGCTAACGAGCTCTGTGACGGAGGTCATGGCGGGCGTGGGGGAGGAGGAGGGCTGAGGCCCTGAGATGGTTTGGGTTTGTTCTGAGTGGGCAATGTCCTGAGGTTTGTGTGGTTTCGTGGCCTGGGCAGACATGGCTGCTGGACTGAGCTCCTCCTGACGTCCACCTGTGACAGCTGTGGGCAACAGTCTGGGAGCCTGAGGTTCACAGACATATGGGGGTCCCCGCAGAAGGGGTGCAGCAGGCTAGAGAAGGGACCGGGCTTCAGGGTGTGTGGGAGGGGTGCTGGGATATAGAGTCCCCTGACTTGGGGGGCGGGGAGGAGCCAAGACCTGCAGCGGCTGTAGCAGGAGGACCCAGAGCCTGGCTGGGCGTGGCCTGTGCCAGTCACAGGTGGCAGACAGGTCGCTGGGGGCCGCAGGGACCTGGAGTGAGGGCTGGGGGCCAGGTCTAGAGCTTGCCATCCTCAGCACTCCTCTGAGCCTGGGTCCTGCTCAGCGCCACCTGCTGCAGGCGTAGGTGGCAGCACTGGTACCCACAGGAGGCGGTGAGGCTGATGTTGGGGCCGCTTAGGACCAGGGCTGACGTGGGCCCGGAGGAGGCCCAGGGGGCGGCCCATGAACAGGTGCCACTGCCGGCCCGTGGGGTGCCAGCCTGGTAAGGGGCCATCGTCGCCTGGGTGTCTGTGGCCTTTGTGCTCCACCACATGCTGAGTCCTGAGGGCCCATGCTGGGCAGGGAGAGTCTGTGGCCCCGGACACCCCAAGAGCGCTCCTGGGAGCTGGAGATGTGGCCGCTGCCCGTGTGCAAGGGCTGAGAGTTCACGTGGGCAGGGACCTTGGGGTGCGGGCTGCCCACTTCCAGTGTGGCAGGAAGGAAGGTGCCGGGGTGGCCCTGGAGCGCCGCGTCCACTGATGGCCATGTGTGAGAGGTGGTGGCTGTCGTGGCCTGGACGAGGCCAGCAGCCGGTGCCACTGTTGGCTTCTACCCACGAGGGGCGCCCTGGTGGGGCAGGTGCGTGATGTCACAGTGGTGACAGAGCACGTCCGCTCCTTGCAGCCAGCTGGTCCCCACAGAGCTTCTGTTGGTCACTCTCAGCCAGACTCCACTCTGTGGCCGGAGTCCTGTGTGGTTCCACAGCGCCGAGCACTTCTCCCGCCTGCCGCTGGGTCGCCCTCGCTCGGCGCTCACGGCAGGAAGGCTTTGCCGAGCGGCTTGTTCCTTTAGGATGAAGCGGTCATAGCCATGGCTGTCCTGTGTGCATCACTCTCTTGAGCCGTTGTGGACACAGGTGCCCACCCCCACCCCACTGCTGCCGTGGGACCCCCGCCTGCGGGGAAGCAAACCGTGGAGGAGTGGTCCCGAGGGGGCGGGCTGTGAGGACAGTTTACCTACCTGTCACTGTTTGCCGTCAGTGACTCCGGTCTGCTTCACAGAGCAGCTGCGCATGGAACCAGCAGGGCTTGTGTTCGTTTGCTGGGCCATGCTGGCCGTAGCAGCAGCTGTGTCCGATGGCCCAAGGTTGTACAGCCTGGCGGCCATGGAGGCCACAGCCCAGGCCACTGGGGAGGCCCCGAGATGTGTTTTCTGACTTCACCCGGGGGGCCTGAGGCTGATGGCTCAGGAAGCAGGGTGGACCCTGGCCTCCTTGGGGACAGCCACAGCAGGGTGAGGACGCTGGGGCCTCCCCGATGGGGGCGGGGTGGCGGCCACCAGAGCAGTGTCTGGTGCTGCTGCTGCCCGATCCACAGGACACTGCCAGGGTGCTCAGGGCTGAGTCTGTGGACAGAGCGAGGTCCTGCCCTCCGCGTGTCCACTCCCGGAACGCGCCAACCAAGAAGGCTCAGACAGGGCAGGTTCAGGGCACAACCACGGATGCGGGGCGAGCGCGGAGCTGAGAGGGAACTACGGGGCAGGCCTGTGTGCTGGACAAGCTGGGCCCATCTGGCAGGAGCCATGGTGCCCCCTGCTGGTGCACTGTGGTGGGGACTCAGGACCGGCCCTGGCTGGGCCCCCCCTCTGCAGGACAGCAACAGCTGCAGGGTGGACTTGGGCCCCTGCCACAGGGCCCAGGATGCCCGAGACCTGCGTGGCTCGCGTGGCTGAGCAGTTAGTGTGGAAGGGCGAGCGCTCACCATGTGGGCAGCGTGCTCCGTGCCGGCCCTGCCCAGGTGCTTCCTGGGAACCAGGGAGTCCTTCCACCCCTCAGCAGCCTGTGAGTGGGGCTGCCCCGTGTAAGTGTCAGCACCTCATCCAGTGGGGAGTGGGGAGCCGAGGGGAGCCCAGGCTGATGGCGCCACGCTCAGGGCCCAGAAGCCACCTGCTGGACCGAGGCGCCCTGGAGGACGTCCTGAGGTCTCCACGTGTGGTCCATCCCTGGACATCTGCCCCTGAGGTGCACAGACCTGGGCGAGGTGCACAGACCTGGGCAGACGGCGATCGAGGTGTGAAGAGCTCACCCCTGTGGGACCCTGCTTGAGAAAGGGGCGGGGCTCAGGGGCCAGCTGTGCCCGGTGTGGCCGCGAGCTGCTCTCCGGCGCCTGTGTCCGTCGCCAGCCTCTCTTTCCCCGGATGTGTCATCTTTCTGTTTAAACCACAATCTGAATGCACAATGCGATCTTTCATTACAATGCTTAAATTGGAAAATGACAGCAGTAATGAAAACAGGCCGGCAGGCAGCCTGGCATTATCTCATGTTTGCAAGTGCAGTCTTGGGCTCTGCCCCGGGGCCGTCTGGAGTGCACCGGCCTCGGCAGGTGGAGGGCCCTGCCCCGCGCTCCCCACCCCCCAGCCGCTGTGGGGAAAATCCTTCTGGGAAGCCGAGACAAGTAGGCATGTGGAGCCCTGGGCGGGTGTCCTCACTGGAGAGCTGCGTGTGGCTCTGGAGCCCCTGGGCACAGGGCAGGGGATGCTGCGGGACTGCTCGGGGGTCCTGGGGCTGCAGGGCGCTGGTAGCGGGAGCGCCAGCCGCGGAGGGCGGATGCGTCTGCCCCTGGACATGAAGTGGGGAGGTGCGGGCTCAGGCGTGCGGCTGGCCGCGTGCACTGCTGGGTGGAGGACACCACTCCCTAGCGTTATCCGGCCTGCCTGGCGCCTGTCCGCTGGTCAGCAGCCCCGCTGGCCTCTCTGTTTTCACCTTTTACGTAGAGAAGCCCGTTGCACTGAGACGTGTGCCGCGTGGCCAGAGAACGAGTTTGACCAGGAGCAGAGTGCCGCCGACTGTGGCAGCAACGGGGCTGCAGCCGGCGCCCTGTGCCCGCATGTCCTGCTTAGCAGCAGTGCCCTGGGCTAGGCGTCGTTGCCAGCGCTGGGTCCCCGGCCGGACCATAGCACCGGGAGGATGCAGGCCTTGTGTGGGGCTCCCAGCTCGTGGGTGGGAGATGCGGCCCCTCTCTCAGAGCTGTGATGGTGATTATGTGGCTGCCACGTGGGGTCACAGCGTGCCTGAGCAGGGCCACCGTGGGCAGCTGTGTGTGTGCCCACGTGGCCGCCTGTGAGTGCGAAACGGCACAGACCTCCCGGCCGAGACCGCATGTGGTGGATGACGAGGGCCAGGTACTTGGGGGCTGTGCTAAGTCCCTGGCTGGGGGTCCCAGTGCTGCTGAGTGTGGGGGACAGCCTTGGGCTCCAAGCAGGGCCCCGGGAGAGGGCACACGGGCAGAGGGCGGTGCACAGTGGTGGGGCCTTCTCTGTCCCGGTCGCTGAGGCTGTGGTGTGGGGGGACGGCCTCGAGCTCTGAGCGAGGCCCCGGCAGGGGCTTGGGGCAGAGGGCAGGCTCCGTGTGCAGCGGTGGGGCCTTCTCTGTCCCAGCCAGGACAGCCCCGGCACAAGTTCCCGGCTCACCCCGTGCTGCTGCCCTGAAGGTGCCAGCGCCTGCCGTCAGCTCCGGCTCGCAGCCAGGTGTGGTGCAGACCCGGGCCAGGCCTTTCCTGCGGCTCTTCCTGTCTCTTCTCATCCTGGATCGCGTGAGGCCGGCGCCGGCCCTGGCTTGGGAGCAGGGGGTGGAGGTGCGGGGGCGGGGCGCTCACGGCCAAGGTGTGCACGCAGGGCGTGTAGAAGGCAGGGCAGGTGTTCCACGGCCTCAGGGGGCCGGGCGGGAGCCAGCTCCTGGATGCCTGCGGGGGAGCACAGAAGTGGCCCTGCCGGGCCTGCTGACCTCACTGTAGACGCGGCCTCTGGGGTAACGCGGGGCGGCGAGAGGAAAATCTCCCGCTGCACCCCCGAGCCCCTCCTGAGAGCATGTGGGAGGAGGAGAGAGGAGCAGCTCCTGTCTGGAATCGCGTTTCTCGGCACGCAGGTTGAGTCGGGAGGGGCCTGGCCGGGGAAGCCGAGTGGCAAAATAAACTCCTGGCCAGGATTCAAGGTGACGCCAGGGAGGCCGGGAAGCCGCTGCTTTGTTCTGCAGTCGATGTCATTGCGAGGGAGGGTGGCCTGGAGTTCCTCCGCTGAGCCCTGAGTGACAGTTGCCATTCCTCCCCAGGGTCATCTTCTGAGACCCCTGCACGGCGAGGGCCATGTCTGACGCTGGAACGTGACGGCCGCCTGCGCCCTGGCCGGGTCTCCCTCACGGAGTGGAGCTGCAGCATGGACCGGCGAGAGGCCCCGCCCCCGGCTCCCACAGGTGACGCGCTGGCCCTGGCAGGCTGGGGCGCGGGGGTGCAGGGCTCCACCCCAGGACTCCGTTCTTGGGACGGCTGTGCCGTCCTGGGTGAGAGCTGCTGGAGGAAAGGCACGGTTCTGCCGCGGTGCCCGTGTGCCGGCGCGCTGCCCGTCCACCCAGGCTCTCCTGTGGGCCAGGCTTGCGCTCGCCTGGTCCACCAGAACTGAGTGGGGAGGGGAGGCTGTCGGGAGCGGGGCCTCCCAGTTTCCGCCCGCGCCGCTGGCCCCCAGCGGTAGCCGCGGGCTCCTCGGCTTCCTTCCTGCTTCCTTCCTCCCTGGCTCAGGGTCAGGCGCTGACCTTTGTCTGCCGGTGTGGGTGTGGGCTGTCGGCCACGGTTTTCTGTTGTCACTTCCACGGAGTGTGTGCTGGAACACCGGCCCGCGGGGAAGGAGGGGGCTGTCTGTGCCATGGCCTGCGCTGCCCCAGTGCCTGCTGGGCTGTGGGGCTGGCGGGCTGGAACCACAGCAGGTGCAGCCCCACAGGTCTGGGTGAGCCGTGTGGGCTCAGCCTGGGCCAAGGCTTGGGAGGTGGGGGCTGGGAGAGCCTGCTTGTGGGCCTGGGCTGCCCTGTCCTGCTCTGGCCGAGGGTGGGGGATGCATGTGGGTCACAGAGAAGCAGCTGCAGGTGAAGTCGTCCCCCGAGTGTGCAGGGCCTGGGAGAAGCCACGCGTGGTCTAGGCAAGGGGACTGTGTAGACTGAGGAGTGCCCAGGCAGCAGCCAGCGGCCCTGGCCACACCCCCCAGGACTCTCCTGAGCTGTGTGTGGTCAGCCATGGGCGTCCACCTTCTGGAGTGTTCTGGAACGTGAGAACCGGTGCCTGGTCTGGGGGCAGGGTCCTGTCTGAGCAGCCTGTGTGGGTCTCCCCGCCTGTGTGGCCCGCTGCGGCACAGGGGAGGTGGGGGCAGCGTTTCCACCGTGCTTTGAGGTCTTGGGGGGAGGAGAGAGGTCAGGGAGTGGGCTGAGGCCCTCCCTGCGGTGAGTTGGGAGCCTGTTCCATCGAGTGGCCATGGCCTGGCGCCGTGGCTGCCGCTCTCCACCCTGTCCTGTCACTGTGCATGGGAGCCCAAGGCCGCCTCCTCCCTGTAAGCGCACCTCTGCTGGCTGCGGGCTGTGGCTGGGCAAGTGTGCCCCCGGGAAGCGCACCTCACGACGGCACTGCTGGGACCCCCAATCCCGCCACCCTCCGTCTTCACGCCGCTGGCGTCCTCAGATCTGCAGGTGCTGATGCGTCCCGGGTCAGAGCCCTCGGGGACCCCAGCACGGAGAGAGCCAAGTTGGGAACCTGGAGTCAGAGGGTCTGGCCAGGGACAGGGCTGGGCTGCCCCAGCCACGGGACGTAGGATGCCCACAGACACCGCTGCTGACATCACACCTGCGGTCTGCCAGCTGCACCCCACCCCGCCTCCAGGGAACGGGGTGCGTGTCCGTCACAGCCGGTCGGTCTTTCCTGGCTGACAGCTGGGGAAGCGTGGGCCTGGGTAGGGAGAGCGCGGTGACCGAGAAGTAGCAGTGGCGCTTCGCCCGCTCAGACGCGCTGACAGAGGCAGACGCTGTGGCTGGTCCACGGCTCTGGCTTTTACGGTGACACTGTCCACGTAAAGACAGTTTCCCATGTGAGGCGAACCCGCCCCTCACACATGCCCGTGAAGGTCGAGTTCAGGCAGGCACCGCCTGTCGCCACTCTGTTTACCTGGAAGATTTTCTGCGGCAAAATTGTGCACATTCATGGAGTTCACTGAGACGATTGCATACAGAGACCACGACGTAACGACACACATGGTGTAACAATACACACGGTGTAATAACAAGCTGTATAATGACACGCAGCATGACACGTGGTGTAATGACACACAGTGTAACGACACACATGGTGTAATGTCACATGGCATGACAACACACACAGCATAACAACACACATGGTATAACGACACACATGGTGTAACAATACACACGGTGTAATAACAAGCTGTATAACGACACGCGGCATAACGACACACGTGGTGTAATGACACACAGTGTAACGACACACATGGTGTAATGACACACGGCATAACAACACACATGGTGCAACAACACATGTGGCATAACGACACACGTGTAATGACACACAGTGTAACGACACACACGGCATAATAACACACATGGCATAATAACACACATGGTGCAACAACACACATGGTGCAACAACACACATGGTGTAACAACACGTGGCATAACGACATGTGGTGTAACGACACACGTGGTGTGACAATACACGGTGCAATGACACACATGGTGTAATGACACACAAGGCATAACGACAGAGATGAGTGTCACCATCACACTGCAGAGGTGTCGGCCTGATGAGAACAGAGTCCTCCATATTTTCAGTGTGTACAGAAAAGTTCCGTGACCTGTGACCCCAGTGTGCAAGAGTTGTCCCTTCTCTCACTGTGACCTGTGACCCCACGGTGGGGGAGCCAACTCTTCCCTAATACTGAGGACAGTGTTGTGTACACAGGTGTTATGTACAGAGGTGTTGTGTGCTCTGAGACAGTGTTGTGTACACAGGTGTGTGTACTGAGGACAGTGTTGTATATGCAGCTGTGTGCACTGAGACAGTGTTGTGTACACAGGTGTGTGCACTGAGACAGTGTTGTGTACACAGGTGTGTGCACTGAGACAGTGTTGTGTTTGCAACTGTGTGCACTGAGACAGCGTTGTGTACACTGGAGTTGTGTGCACTGAGAGTGTTGTGTACACAGGTGTGTGCACTGAGACAGTGTTGTGTACACAGGTGTGTGTACTGAGACAGTATTGTGTACACAGGTGTTATATACAGAGGTGTTGTGTGCACTGAGGACAGTGTTGTGAAAAGGGTGTGTGCACTGAGGACAGTGTTGTGAATACAGGTGTGTGCACTGAGGACAGTGTGGTGTATACAAGTGTGTGCACTGAGACAGTGTTGTTTACACAGGTATTGTGTGCACTGAGACAGTGTTGTGTACACTGGAGTTGTGTGCACTGAGAGTGTGGTGTACACAGGTGTGTGTACTGAGACAGTGTTGTGTACACAGGTGTGTGCACTGAGAGTATTGTGTACACAGGTGTGTGCACTGAGACAGTATTGTGTTTGCAGCTGTGTGCACTGAGACAGCATTGTGTACACTGGAGTTGTGTGCACTGAGAGTGTTGTGTACATGGGTGTGTGCACTGAGAGTGTTATGTACACAGGTGTGTACATGTTGACAGTATGCACAGGTGTGTGTACTGAGGACAGTGTTGTGTACACAGGTGTGTGCACTGAGACAGTGTTTACACAGGTGTGTGCACTGAGAGTGTTGTGTACACTGGAGTTGTGTGCACTGAGAGTGTTGTGTACACAGGTGTTGTGTACACAGGTGTGTACATGCGGACAGTGTGCACAGGTGTGTGTACTGAGGACAGTGTTGTGTACACAGGTGTGTGCACTGAGACAGTGTTGTGCACACAGGTGTGGTGTACACTGCTGGTTCTGTGTTATCTGACATGGACAGGATGGTTGGTGTTGGGAAGGGAGGAATTTCTTGGATGTTTCTCTTCCACTTGTGGGTTTCAAGTTCTGTCAGTGGAAATGAGTGCAGTTTAGAGACACAGGAGGCCCCTCACCTGCTCATCACTCACTCGCGTGGCAGGGCGTGTCCCGTGGGAGCAGTCAGTGCCGGCTGCATGCTCGTGTTTGTTAGAGAACACACAGGTCCTTGTCCCCAGAGCCTGCGGGCTGCTGTGTCAGCTTTCCTTCCTGAAGCCCCAGAGACGGCCGTGGGCTTCCCTGCCGAGGGGCACGTGGGTTCCCACAGCCTGCACTGGAGCTGTCACTGACACCCAAGAGCCCGTTTTGTGCCAGATGTGGCCAAACTTGAAGAAAAATCAGTTTTCAAAAATGCATTGCTAAATGCAATTTAGATCAGCAGCCATGAAATATGATTTATGGCACAAGTGGGCAGAGAAATCATAGCAAGTACACCTGTGTCATAGTAGTGTGTGCTGGGTGTGCCCAGTGCTGTGTGCACCTGTGTCATAGTAGTGTGTGCTGAGTGTGCCCAGTGCTGTGTGCACCGGTGTCATAGTCGTGTGTCCTGAGTGTGCCCAGTGCAGTGTGCACCTGCCTCAGTTGTGTGTCCTGAGTGTGCACAGTGCACCTGTGTCATAGTCTTGTGTCCTGAGTGTGCCCAGTGCAGTGTGCACCTGTGTCATAGTCTTGTGTCCTGAGTGTGCCCAGTGCAGTGTGCTCCTGTGTCACAGTCGTGTGTCCTGAGTATGCCTAGTGCAGTGTGCACCTGCCTCAGTTGTGTGTCCTGAGTGTGCGCAGTGCAGTGTGCCCCTGTGTCACAGTCGTGTGTCCTGAGTGTGCACAGTGCTGTGTGTACCTGAGTCATCGTTGTGTGTCCTGAGTGTGCCCAGTGCTGTGTGTACCTGAGTCATCGTTGTGTGTCCTGGGTGTGCCCAGTGCAGTGTGGACCTGTGTCATAGCCATGTGTCCTGAGTGTGCCCAGTGCAGTGTGCTCCTGTGTCATAGTCTGTCCTGAGTGTGCCCAGTGCAGTGTGCCCCTGTGTCATAGTCATGTGTCCTGAGTGTGCATAGTGCTATGTGCTCCTGTGTCACAACAGTGCTGTGTGTACCTGTGTCACAGTCGTGTGTCCTGGGTGTGCCCAGTGCAGTGTGGACCTGTGTCATAGCCGTGTGTCCTGAGTGTGCCTACTGCTGTGTGGACCTGTGTCATAGCCATGTGTCCTGAGTGTGCCCAGTGCAGTGTGGACCTGTGTCACAGTCTTGTGTCCTGAGTGTGCCCAGTGCAGTGTGCACCTGTGTCCTAGTCATGTGTCCTGCGTGTTCCCAGTGCAGTGTGGACCTGCCTCAGTTGTTTGTCCTGAGTGTGCCCAGTGCACCTGTGTCCTAGTCATGTGTTCTGAGTGTGCCTAGTGCAGTGTGGACCTGTGTCCTAGTCATGTGTCCTGGGTGTGCCCAGTGCAGTGTGCACCTGTGTCCTAGTCATGTGTCCTGGGTGTGCCCAGTGCTGTGTGCACCTGTGTCACAGTCGTGTGTCCTGAGTGTGCCCAGTGCTGTGTGCCCCTGTGTCACAGTCGTGTGTCCTGGGTGTGCCAGTGCTGTGTGCATCTGTGTCATAGTTGTGTGTCCTGAGTGTGCCCAGTGCTGTGTGGGCCTGTGTCACAGTCGTGTGTCCTGAGTGTGTCCAGTGCTGTGTGCCCCTGTGTCACAGTTGTGGGGAGCAGCTCGGACTGGACTAAGTTACTGGAATTAGGACTTATTCTATGCATCTGCTCTCCTCTGTGGGGAGCAGCTCGGACTAGACTGTTACTGGAATTAAGACTTATTCTATGCATCTGCTCTCCCACAATATGGCGCTGGGAGAGGAGAAAACAGCTTCTACCCAGCTGCCTCCAGTTCAACCAATAAACTGTAGGACTTGCTCCTGATTGGAGGAGAGCAGCGTACTCGGCGTGTGGGCAGCCGAGTTGGGATTGGCGGAGGAGGACTATAAAGGAGGAGAGAGACGGCATGCACCAGGAACATCTATGGGGAACATCTAAGGGAACCCGTGCAGCCCCCGAGAAAACCGGCCGGCGGTGTGCCGCTCCCCTGCGGAAGTGGGGAATGCGGCCAGGGGGAACTGCCCTTCCACGGAGGTGGAAGGGATAGTAGCCAACCCGGGAAGAACCAGCAGCAAACCCGGGGAGGGCCGAGCAGACGAAAGAACAGCGCAGGGTCCTGTGTCGTTCCTCCACGAAGAGGGGGAGCGACAACAGTCGTGTGTCCTGGGTGTGCCAGTGCTGTGTGCGCCTGTGTCACAGTCGTGTGTCCTGGGTGTGCCAGTGCTGTGTGCACCTGTGTCCTAGTCGTGTGTCCTGAGTGTGCCCAGTGCTGTGTGCACCTGTGTCACAGTCATGTGTCCTGAGTGTGTCCAGTGCTGTGTGCCCCTGTGTCACAGTCGTGTGTCCTGGGTGTGTCCAGTGCTGTGTGCACCTGTGTCACAGTCAAGTGTCCTGAGTGTGCCCAGTGCTGTGTGCTCCTGTGTCACAGTCATGTGTCCTGGGTGTGCCAGTGCTGTGTGCACCTGTGTCACAGTCAAGTGTCCTGAGTGTGCCCAGTGCTGTGTGCACCTGTGTCCTAGTCATGTGTCCTGGGTGTGCCCAGTGCTGTGTGCACCTGTGTCACAGTCGTGTGTCCTGGGTGTGCCCAGTGCTGTGTGCACCTGTGTCCTAGTCGTGTGTTCTGATCGTGCCTGGTGCTGTTTGTTGTTGGAGACCTGAGACCCAGTTCCCTGCAGAGGTCTCCGGAGCACGTTGCTCTTTGCAGTGGCCTATGGGTAGGTCTGGCATGTGCAGGCCTCTCTCTGAGACCATCCAGGTTCCTGGGGCGGATGGGGCGGGGGCAGCTCTGTGGATGCTCTCCCTGGGTCCCTCCCCACCTGACAGTGGCCACTCTGTCGCCTGCGCTTGCAGTCCCCTTCTCTCTTGCATCCTGGTGCTGGGGGTCTTGTGCTGGCCCTGATCCCTGGCAGGGGAGCTTTCGTGGACCCCGTTCGTGGTCCGAGGCAGCAAAGTCTTTCTCTGGGACCGTGCCTCTCCGTCTAGGGGCTGGAGAGCTGAGCCCTGACCACTTCCCTGGAATTCAGCCAATTCGGTGGGAGCCAGGGAGGGCACAGAAGGGGCCTGGGTGCCCCCCGCAGGGGGTGGCGCAGGGAGGGACTGGCCCCACCTTCCGGAGGCCCCCATGTCCCTGGCCGCAAGCACCCACCCTGGGGCAGGCCTGCCTCTGTGTCCACCTCCGCACGTGCTCAGTTCGGAGGACTGAGAGTCCTGCAGAGTCCTGAGGGGCCACACTCACACTCGTGGGTTCCAGAGCTGCCTCAGCGTCGTCCACGGCGTGCGTCTCCTGATAGAGACCTGTAGAAGGAATGGCAGCGCCCTGGGCCTTAGAAAGAGATCAGCCGACTGCTCTGCTCCCAGAAGTCGGCACCCAGTCTTGGGTTCTGCGTAGTGGAATGCGCTGTGTCAGCGGGTGACCGTGCCGTGGGCTGGGTTGCAGGTCCTGTTCAAAGGAAGTCGGACAAGCTGCGTGCTTGTCCTGGGGCAGGGCGGACGGCAGGTGCCACGGGAGGCTTGGCCACGTCCCAGTGGGTGCGTGTGCTGTCCACAGCTGCCTCGTGGTCCTCTCCGGTCCAGAACGTGCCTGGATGCCGGCGCTGTAACCGATGCGGCTGTAATTTCAGAAAACGAAGTGAAATACGACACCAACAACAACGAGGAGGAGGAGGAGGAGGAGGAGGAGGGGGAGCAGTTTGATTTTGACAGCGGAGATGAAATCCCAGAAGCAGACCGGGGAGGCGCCCCGTCAGCTGCCGGCCCCTCGGGTGAGTCCCGCCCTGGCCTGGGCTCGGGAATCCTGGTTCCTCCTCTCCTGCCAGATTGAGTGCTGCAGGGGAGGCTCGCCTTCCAGGGGCCGGAGGACCGGAACGGCACCCAGGCTCCAGTGGGCTCCAGCCCTGTCGCTCTGGCTTTGTATCCCGGAAGGGGGACGTCCTGCCGCCTCCCACAGGGCTTTGCCAAGGCTCTGAGTGCAGAGGCGGTGGAGGGATTCAGAGCAGTCCACGTGGCCCCCGAAGCCTGTGGGCTCCTGTGCCTCTGGCTGCACTGGCTCCCCCATCTCCCTGTGAGGCCGTCCTGGCTCAGCTAGTCCCCCGGGAGCTGTGGATGTGCCTGGGAGCCACCTCGTGGGTCTGGCACCTCCTTCCCTTCCGGCCTGTGCCTGGATGGCAGGCAGGCTACGCCCTGGACAATTGGCCAGGTGGGACTGGGTGGGGGGCGGTCCACTGCGCCCTGCACCTGCTGACAGGTCTCCTTTGGGTCCTCCAGGGGCTGAAACCGGAGCTGGAACAGAAGCCGGCCTGGTGGCAGAACCAGCCAAGCCTGTGGCCCCGACCAGAGTGAACCCCTACTCGGTCATTGACATCACACCCCTGCAGGAGGACCCGCCTCCGGCCCCGGACCCGCTCGCCGAGGAGGAAAGTGTGGGCCCGCACGTGCCCAGTGGGTACTCGGTGCCTGTGCCCTGCGGCTATGCCGTGCCCTCGAGCCTGCCCCTCCTGCTGCCGGCCTACTCCAGCCCGGTCATCATCCGCACCACGTCGGTGGAGGAAGAAGGTACGGCCGCCCTCTGCCCTCTGCCGGCCTCAGGGATCTGCTGGCTGGGTGGTGTGTGCTTAGTCTAGCTGTCAACTAGGGAGGACTTGTGTGACCTTTGCCCCAGCCCTGTGCCACCTTCTGGGGTTTGTCACCTGCTGTTCTGCCCGAGGGTTATGCCAATGGGGGAGCAGCTGTGCACCTGGGCTGGATGGAAGGGGGTGGGGGGACGGGCGAGGACAACTGGCAGTGCTGGTTCCCACGCTGCGGTGCTGGGGTGAGGGGCCTCCCAGGGCCAGAGGTCTGGGGTTGCAGCCACAGAGGGCGCGGTGCGGGGGGTGGGGTGCAGAGGGACGGGGGAGCAGCAGCTGCATGGAGCTGTCAGGCCCGCGTGTCCCTGGCTCTGGGACGGGTGTTGGTGTTGCCTCCGCATCCCCTCCAGGGAGGGTGGAGGGCCCCCTGCCGCCCTGTGGCTGGGCTGACCCGGCCAGGTCTGCTGCTTCAGGCCTGCCCGGGGCCCTGTGAGTCAGCTGAGGCCGGGGGTGGGCTGCGAGCTGCCTGCTGCAGGTCAGGTGCCGGGGGAGGGTGGGGGACAGGGCGGTCCCCTCCTGGTGGGTTCAGAGTCGACCCAGCTGAGACGCTGAGGCAGCATCGGTGTTCCCCGCTGAATCCCACCGCGTGCCGTCTTTCCCCGGAGGGGTCAGCTCCCGGGCCCCGGCCCCCATTCCGTGCGTTCTCCCGCGGGGATGAGCAGTGTCTGCGGGGAATTTGCCGGGATTCACGGCGCTGCTGGAGCTGCTGTCACCGAGGGAGGGGTGAGGCCCATGAGGGCACAGGGGCCGTGGAGAGTGTGTGGTTAAGGAAGTCGCACCCGTGTCAGTGCGGTTTGCTTGCGCTTTGAAATTATGTGACCGTTCTACGTAATGGAGCACCACTTACAGATATTTGCTTGGTGCGATTTTCAACCAATTTGCTGACCCCCACACTGCCCACCTAGAGCCGGCGCTGGAGCTGCCACCTGAGCCCTGCCGTCCGTGCCAGCATTGGGGAGAGCGTCCCTCAGTCACTTTCCCTGTCTCTGCAGGCCAGGCACTTGGGGAGCAGAGGGCCCCTGCACTCACGGTGCTGAGGTTATAGGGCGCGGCGCCCACTGCAGCCCTGCTCCCACGGGGGACTCGGGGCAGTGGTGCATGTGTGACAGGCCACAGGGCAGGCAGGTGCCAGGCTTGCCCTGTGACCACAGCCCCGCCAAGGGCCAGCTCAGGGTCCCAGGCACCCGACGTGGCTTTCCCCAGGGTGGCGCCAGGCCAGGCAGTAGCAGGCAGGAATCGCACCCAGAGCCCGAGCCTCAACCCTCGGCCCTGCACACCCCCAGATCTGAGAGCTGCCGAGCGCCGACGCGGCCCCGCACTGGCACTCCGTGCCTGACACAGGCACACGAGAGATACAGGGTGGCCTTGGGAATCCGTGCGTGTGGGGCAGTTTCCTGCCTGGACCCCGGTCCCACGCAAGAGGCCGCCCAACGTATTTGCCGATGTCCCAGCAAGTGAAGAACTCCGGACCCCAGCCCTGCTTACCCCGAGCACTGACGATGAGGGACGCTCAGCCTGCACGCTTCCCTGGCCCCAAGCCTGCCGGGGCGGGTGGTGGAGCGGTGGGGGGCACAGAGCCAGCTGTGTCGTGCCGGCTGCTGCTCTCCGCCTCCCCACCTCGGCCGCTGCTCTCCATCTCCCCCAACTCGGCACCCAGGCCCCACTTCCTGGGAAGAGGAGCTCAAGGAAGGAAAACCTTCCCTGGGTGGGGCTGTGAGAGCAGACAGGGCAGTGTGGGATCCACGCCAGAGCCACGGGGCGGACAGCTGGGCCCGGCCCCTCCACCTGCGTGGCACGTGAGCATCTCGGGGCTGTTTGTACCGTGGTGGGGAGAGCGAGTGTTGGAGCAAGTGGACCCGCTGTCTCCCTGGAGCTGCCCGTGACCTGCTGCGGGCCCTGGCGCAGGAATGGGCGGTGGTGGTCCTCGGGGTGCGGGTGGTGGGTGCCTGCCTTCCTGGTGGCCTGGCAGATCCCGCCACTCAGCGTGTGCCTCCCCTACAATTTGGCGTCCCCTAGTGGCCAGGAGAGCGTCCTCGGGGCTGAGGTGGCCCAGCTGCTGTGGCTGAGCTCTGTGCTACTGGGCTTTGGTCAGGAGCTATTGCTTAGCCGTCCAGTGAGCCTGTTGGGAAGGCTGTTGACGGGCAGCGTTGCCGGTGCAGCTCACGGACATGCAGGCTGGGCCGAGGGCCTCTCCTGTTGCCCACGTGGACTTTGGGCTGTGCTGACGGCAGGGACAGGGCCCTCGGGGGCAGGCGGCCATGCGCAGTATGCAGCTGTGGTCGCTGCGTCTCCTGTCCGCCAGCCGCCTGCATCTGCACGCGAGGGGTCCTCACTCCTGCACACGCCACGCGTCCCGCCCTCGCAGGTGGAACAGAGCTTGCACCTGGGCCTCTGCCGAGCCCCGGTGGTGCTGGAGAGCCAGGCACGGGCCTCCGGGACAGAGCCCAGGCAGACGTGCACTGAATGTGTGCGTGTGTGTGCCTGCTTGCTGTCATCTGCCACCAGCTTACCTGCTTCTCCCTGGAAAACCTTTTGAGTTTGCCAGTTAGGGGCGCCTTCAAATAAATCAAAGTCCCCGTGAAAACTGAAGACATGGGAGGGAGCATCGTGTTTCCTTTTCACTCCGGCTGGTTTATTCTGGTGCCAGTGTTTTGCTGCCGCCGTTTCAAAAGACCGAGGGATATCACATCGTATTCTCTGTTTTTGGGTACGTTTTATCTAGAAGCTAAGAATTTCCAACCTGTCTGTGGCCGTCTTCCTGCTGTTTAAGGCTGGCCGTGATTGATAAGAAAGGGAAACAGGAAGTCGTCGTCACAGCACTGGTCAGGCATAAAGCCCTGCTGTTTTCTGTCCCCACAGAAACACCGGGATTCCCTGAAGACCGCCCCTGTAACTCCCTGAGCTCCGAGGACCCTCCGAACAGGTACCTCACGGACTTCACGTCTGCACCGCTCCCGCCAGGCGCATCCGCTGCCCAGTGCCCATTCCCCAGCTCTCCCGGGGGGCCCTCCCCAGTGCACCGGCCTCCCTGGTCACCAGGCAGCCCCTTTGTGCAACATCAGAGAAAGCAGAGAGGGGAGGGGAGCTGCAGAGAGAGGGGAGAGAGAGAGAGGGAGGGAGAGTGGGAGAGAGAGAGAGAGGGAGGGAGAGTGGGGGAGAGAGAGGGAGGGAGGGGGAACTGCAGAGAGAGAGAGAAGGAGAAGGAGAGGGAGAGGGAGGGGGAGAGAGAGGGAGGGAGAGTGGGAGAGAGAGAGAAGGAGAGGGAGAGGGAGGGGGAGAGAGAGGGAGGGAGGGGGAGCTGCAGAGAGAAGGAGAGGGAGGGGGAGAGAGAGGGAGGGAGGGAGAATGGGGGAGAGAGAGAGAGAAGGCGGGAGAGTGGGAGAGAGAGAGAGAAGGAGAGAGAGAAGGAGAGGGAGAGGGAGGGGGAGAGAGGAGCTGCAGAGAGAGAGAGAGAAGGAGAAGGAGGGGGAGAGAGAGGGAGGGAGGGGGAGCTGCAGAGAGAGAGAAGGAGAGGGAGGGGGAGAGAGGGAGGGAGGGGGGGCTGCAGAGAGGGGACCCCAGTCTTCCCTGAGGCATTGGGGTGGATCAGTCAGACCCTGGCGCTGAGCCCTTGCCCCTTTGCTGGCTTGTACGCTTACTTTGTTGCTTTGTTTATCTGGCCAGCCAGGGCTTGGAGAGACAAAGTATCTCTCCAGGAAGTAAGGGCAGAGAGAAGGATGGGTCATCCATCTTGCATCTGCTGTTCACTTCCTAAGTGGCCATGATGGCCAGTGCTGGAGCCTGCAACGCCATCGGGGCCTCCCACGTGGGTGCAGGGGCTCCAGCGCTTGGACCGTCGGCGGCTGCTTTCCCAGGCCGCAGCAGGGAGCTGGGTCTGAAGCAGAGCGACAGGACCTTGAACCAGGGCTTGACGGGGGATTCTGGCGTCACAGATGGAGGCTTAACCCGTGCGCCACAGCGCCCGCCCTCTGAGGCTGAATGTGATTACACCACGAGTGCGGCCAGCCTGGCCCCTCGTGGGACACACACTTCCAGACCAGCGCTTTGTCACCGGTGATCTCACGCTGATTGAGAGAAACATGCCCATCAAAGGGTGGATCCTGGGGCCAGCGCTGTGGCACAGCAGGTGGAGCTGCCGCCTGGGACGCCAGCATCCCATGTGGGCGCCGGTTCCTGTCCCGGCTGCTCCTCTTCTGATCCAGCTCCCTGCTCATGGCCTGGGAAAGGCAGAGAGGATGGCTCAGGTGTCTCCATGTGGGAGGCCTGGGTGGCGCTCCTGGCTCCTGGCTCCGGCCTGGCCCGGCCTGGCTGCGGTGGCCACCTGGGGAGTGAGCCAGCGGATGGAAGACCTCTCTCTCCCCCTCTCTCTCTCGTCTCCCTCTGTCCCCCCGCCCCCGTCTCTCTGTGTAATTCTGCCTTTCAGATAAGTAAATAAAAATCTGTTTTAAAGAATGAGTATTATAAGGAAAAGACTGTGGAATGCCGTGTGACGACAGCCTCGGGGTTTCTGCCGTTAGGAAGAAGTTTACACCTGCAGGGTGGTTAGATACCGGGCCCAGTTCCTCCTGGCCGCCGTTCTTTTGTGTCCAGATGTGATCCCACCACGGAGGCTGGCACATGCAGCCCTAGGCGACCCCGCTGAGGGTGGCCCTGGCTTCCATCCACACAGCCCACAAGCTGCGTGCAGCCTGCCCTGGGCTCTACGTCCACCACGTCCACTGTTTCTCTGTCCTTGGTTTCCGCACGGTCAGTGCAGTCTGAACATGTTCCTGGCAAATCCCAGGAGTAAGCGGTTTATAAGCCGCGTGATGAACTCTCGCGCCAGCCAGCCCTCGGCATGAGTGACCTGCTTGTCCCGTGCATCCGTGCCTCCCGAGGCACTGCACAAGTGGACACGTGGAATTTAAGGTTTAGGGAGTTCACTTTGGTGCGAGACTTGAAGTCTCTGCATAGTTTTTTCCCTAGTATGCAATTCTATGAATCTGTGAATGTGCACACATACAATACACACATGTGCACACATATTCACACATGCACACATACCTACGGAGACACACATAAAGCTGCACACATGTAATCATGCATGTACTCACACATGCACACATACACATGTAGTTACCACACAGACTGCACACATACAAGTACACACGTACTCACAATACATACACAGATGTGCACACATACAATACACACATGCACACACATGTTTACACACACAAATACGCACATGCACACACACCTACGGAGACACACGTAAAGCTGCACACATGTAATCATGCATGCATATACACACATACACATGTAGTTACCACACAGACATGCACACATACAAGTACACACGTACTCACAATACATACACAGACTGCACACATACAATACACACGCACACACATGTTTACACACATGAACATGCACATGCACACACAAGTACACACATGTAGTCGCACACATGCACACACACACACACACATGTACACACCACACACTCTGGGCGCAGTCAGCAGCCTAGTGACCCGGCAGAGTGTGTGCAGTCCTCTGATGCCACGTCTCTTTTCTCCAAGCGATGACCAGGTTAATAAGGAAGACAGTGCCCTGGCCCGCTGGGTGGCTGACCCGGCCAACACGGCGTGGATGGAGAGTGAGTACCGCCCCTCACGGTCTCGTCCTCGCTGGCGCGGGCTCACCTGAGCAGCACAGGGGCAGTGTGCACGCCGGGCTGCCCGGGCTTGGGGCGGGGGGGCTGGGGATACGTTCCCAGCCGCGAGCTGCCTGTGCGGAGACTTCCAGGGCTGCCAGGCCGCGCTCTGGGTGTGGGCGCCTTGCCGCATGCCGGCTGCCGTCCAGGACGCACCGGCCTCGGGGGCGCAGCCGCTCACAGTGGGACCCCAGCGGGGAGTGGGGGTGCAGGCGGGGGTGCGCTGAGCTCCCTCCCTTGCTTCCACGCGTGATTTCACAGATTGCACTACTTTACCCAGAGCTGCGTGTCTGTTTTTTAATCCGTAAAGGTAAAGCCAAGGTGATTTCCTAACCGGGTCTCCTGCTGCCACTGGCGACTGTGCCATTAGGTCGTACGCCTGGCCGGCGGGGCAGAACCCTCTGAGCATTCTGCTCACGGGGTTATCTCCTGGAGGGTTGTGCTCGTGAATGACGGCTCTGCTAAGCGGGGCTCCCGGGGTACCTGTCCCAGGCTGACATCACGGTGTAGCCACTCAGCTCCAGGGTAACATCCGGCTGTGTGCTCCCTTACCTGGTGCTGGGACCCATGACGGCCGCTGACAGGGGCTCTGCCTGGACACAAGCCCTGGGAGCCAGCCCTGGGCAGTGCCCGGCTGGAGGGCGTCGCCGTGGCTGCGGTTCGATGAGCGTCCGTGCTGCCGGACCTGGATCGCAGCCATGAGGAGGGCTTTCTGCGGGTGCCCCCCGCCCCCGTCCATGCGTGTCCGTCTTGTCCCTTTCTCCCACTGCTTTCTCAGAAGCAGCTTCGCGGCTCCGTGCGGTGCCCTGTGGTTTGGACTCCTCGTGTGCATTGGAGGCTCGCAAGCGTTCTTTTAGACACGGATTTCCACGTGATACCTGAACAAATTCCAAGCTCATGGCTGTGTGGCCATCTTGCAGCACATTCTAAATATTTTCCTGTGGACCACAACCCGCACCCCAGCCCCTGGCTTCTGAGAAAGCGGTCGCGGTTCTGCAGTCCAGGGGAGGCCGGGCGCTGCGCGTGCTTGCCCACGTCTGGCCGTCAGCCCCTGCAGGCAGAGCGCTGTGGCGTCATCGCCTGTCAGGGTCTCCGTTGCCTGCAGCACCTGGTTCGCCCTGTGTTTCAGGATCTCTGTCCCAGCTTTGCACTTAAGCTCATCGGCTGGAAGGTGCTCAGAGCCGCTAGAGCTGTCACTGAGCGTGGAGTCGTGGAAGCCGTGGGCTCCCGGCAGGTGCTGGTGTGCTGCCCTCACCCACGCCACGCAGACGCTCTGCCAGGCAGTGGGGTTCGTGCTTGGGGAAGCCTGGGGGAGGGCTACAGCGTCAGAGCACACGACGGATTTGAACTGCTCTTGGTTGGCTTTGGTAAGCTTTCAAAATGTCCCTTCCTTTTATTCCAGATCCGGAAGAAGCAATTTACGATGATGTTCCAAGGGAAAACTCAGACTCTGAGCCAGGTTGGATCTCTGGGTTGGGTTCTGGGAGACTGAGCTTGGTGGCGCGGCCCCACTTTCACCTGTGGCCTTGCAGCTCAGTGGTGGCGTGTGGTAGGATGTGTATGTGTGTGTGAGTGTGTGTGAGTGTGCACGTGTGTGCCACAACACTGGGAGTGAGGCAGTTAATTACCCTGAGCAAGCAGAAAGAGTTAACTACTGACTAACGTTGGATGCAAATAAAAACTGGGGAGATCAGAACAAGACAGTAGCACGACTGGCTTAGAGACATGGATCCTTGAACCGAGTGTTCGAGGAAGTGGATTCCAGAACTTGGAGACTATTTCCAAGAATGAACTGTGAGTGTGACTCAAAGAAAATATAAACAGATGGAGAGCGACTGGTTCAATCTCACTCCCAGATAACAGCCCGGCAACAGCAATAAGAGATTGAGCAAAACATTTAGAAGTCAGAAATCACACTGCTCTCTAGCTCAGGGTCCAAAAGATCACTGAGTGGATCAGTAAATAGTTTGACCTGAATAATGAAGTGTTATCCAAACACTTGCTGGGGGAGTTCCCAGTGATCAGGGCTGACAGGCACAAAGGTGTGTGTGAGGAAGAGGAGACGGACACACAGCGCCCAGCAGTGACGACACCTGTGCACCTGTGTACAACAGGACACACAGCGCCCAGCAGTGACAACACCTGTGCACCTGTGTACTACAGAACACACAGTGCCCAGCTGTGACGACACCTGTGTACTACAGAGGGGGACACACAGTGCCCAGCTGTGACGACACCTGTGCACCTGTGTACTACAGAACACACAGTGCTCAAGGTGACAACACCTGTGCACCTGTGTACAACAGAGGACACACAGCGCCCAGCAGTGAGGACACCTGTGCACCTGTGTACTACAGAGGGGGACACACAGAGCCCAGCAGTGAGGACACCTGTGTACTACAGAGGGGGACACACAGTGCCCAGCAGTGAGGACACCTGTGCACCTGTGTACTACAGAGGACACACAGTGCACAGCAGTGAGGACACCTGTGTACTACAGAGGGGGACACACAGCGCCCAGCAGCGACGACACCTGTGTACTACAGAGGGGGACACACAGTGCCCAGCTGTGACGACACCTATGCACCTGTGTACTACAGAACACACAGTGCTCAAGGTGACAACACCTGTGCACCTGTGTACAACAGAGGACACACAGCGCCCAGCAGTGAGGACACCTGTGCACCTGTGTACTACAGAGGGGGACACACAGAGCCCAGCAGTGAGGACACCTGTGTACTACAGAGGGGGACACACAGTGCCCAGCAGTGAGGACACCTGTGCACCTGTGTACTACAGAGGACACACAGTGCACAGCAGTGAGGACACCTGTGTACTACAGAGGGGGACACACAGCGCCCAGCAGCGACGACACCTGTGTACCTGTGTACAATAGAGAAGCAACTGCACAGTCTTCAGCAGTGACAGCTGAGGGACCAGGTCAAGCAGACGAGTCTGACTTGATCACACAGACAGTCCTCCACCGCGGTGCCGCCGTTGGCCCGGGGCCCCGTGGTACCTTCTCCAGTAGCCTCCCCTCCCCCCCAAATGCAGGGAGAGAAGAGTGCGGTGCCGATGTGCAGCTCTGGTGGGAGAGGAAGAGGAGGGACGCTGGTGGCCGTCCAGCTGGAGTGGTCTTCGTGGTGAATTTACAGGGTGGACTGTTAGACCGTGGTTAACAGTCAGTGATCTGCGTTAATGCGTGTGTGTGTGTGTCTCTGTGTGTGTGTGTCTGTGTGTGTTTGTATGTGGTCAGAGACAGTGACAACCACAAAGCAAGATGAGAAGGAATCGAGGCACCTGAGCGTATCACCTTAGACCAGCCTAGGCCGGGGGTGTGTGGCTCACTGCAGCACAGACCTGTGCCAGTCTCAGCGAGGGGCAGGTCCTAAGCTGTGTCCCTGCAGCACTGTGTTGCTGCCTTTAGTTCAGCGAGCACTGAACAAGTAGCATAATACGTTAATAGCTCAGAAGTGATGTTCAAACATGCCTGCCTTGTGCTGTGGTATATTGTGACTGTTACACACACACACACACACACACGCACGCACACACGTGTTTCCTTTTTGCTTATTTTGCAGAAGTAGGGTGAGAGAGGGCCAGTGCGAGACCCCATCTGCTCGTTGGCTCCCCCAGTGCCTGCAGCAGACAGGGATGGGCCAGACAGAAGCTGAGAGCTGATAACTCAGTCCAGGTCTCCCGTGTGGGTGACGGGGACCCAGCTGCTTGGGCCTGCACCTGCTGCCTCCCAGGAAAGCTGGAATTGGGAGCTGCAGCTGGCCTTGGAGCCTAGGCGCTGATACTGGGTGCAGGAGCCTTAACTGGTGCCTTTGCCACTCAATCCCATGGCTGCCCCAGTAAACATAGCTTTAAAGGAATTGGATGCACTGTACCTCTGAGACTCCGTCTAAGAAACTGTGGAATTTGCTGCTCATACCAGTTGACATGCCTGATGGACGTGGGGCTGCAGGTGTTTGTGGGACGCCCAGGTCCACGTTGCTTCTTGCTCCGTGCTCACCCAGGGTTAGGTTCTCAGAGATGAGGAGGGCCTTGAGGAACGTCAGAGAGGCACAGAACGTTGCTGCCCTCTGTTTCTATTGTGGTGAAGTTCACGTGGCATAAACCTGGCCCTTGGCGCTGAGCCCTCCCTCCCCATGCTGGCAGTGGGGTCCCCTCGGTTGCACCGTGGCTGAGCGTGGACAGCGGGGCTGGTCAGGAGAGACACAGCTGCTGAGTTTCTGCGTAAAAGCTCTGGGGAGCGTTGAAAGTGAGCTGGTGGGGTTTGTGTGCCCAAAGAACTACCCTGAATTCGGTGGAGACGTATTACAAGGCTCGGGCAACGTGAAACGTGTAGGGATTTTTAAAGTGGGAAGTTCATTCTGACTTCTGGCCAGTGAAAGTTTTTTTTTTTTTTAAAGATTTATCCATTCATTTGAAAGTCAGAGTTAAACACAGAGAGAGGAGAGGTAGAGAAAGAGGTCTTCCATCTGATGGTTCACTCCCCAATTGGTTGCAATGGCTGGAGCTGCGCGGATCTGAAGCCAGGAGCCAGGAGCCTCCTCTGGGTCTCCCATGTGCATGCAGGGGACCAAGGACCCGGGCCATCCTCCTCTGCCATCCCAGGCCATAGCATAGAGCTGGACCGGAAGAGGAGCAGCTGGGACTAGAACCGGCGCCCATGTGGGATGCCTGCACTTCAGGCCAGGGCTTTGACCTGCTGCGCCACAGCGCCGGCCCCAGTGAAAGCCTTTGAGTGTCATTGTTGGGCCAAGCTTGCTCTTGGTCTTAAAGAAGAGCTTCCCCAGGGCTTTCTTACGTAGGATTTGAAGGCTGAATTCCATTCGAGTGGGCAGCTGGACATGCATATGGAATCAGTTTCATATTTTTACATCTCGGGAATTCCAATTTTTGTGTAATGCAAAATGTATGGCCAGTACCAAGTATATGGAAAGTAGAATTGTAGAAATTATTCTTTTTTTTTAAAAAATAGATGTATTTATCCAAAAGAGAGAAAGGGAACTTCCATCTGTTGATTCACTCCCCAAGTTTTTGTGACTGGGCCAGGCTGACCCAGGAGCCAGGAACTCTTCCAGGTCTCCCAGGTGGGTGCGGGGGCCCAAGCACTTGGGCCATCTTCTGCTGCTTTCCCAGGCCACAGCAGAGAGCTGCATGGGCAATGGAGCAGCTGGGGCTCACACGGTGCTCACATGGGATCCGGCATTGCAGGCGGCAACATAACCCGCTGTGCCACAACGCCAGCCCACAAGTCATTCTTAAGCCATGTATACCTTGGAGCACCATGAAGCGTGTGTGCCGTAGTTCCTGAGCAATGGCGGTGATCTGGGGGTGATAACTGCTGTCTTCACTTTCTGTAGTCCTGGTGCTGTGCAGTTGGCGCTGGGAGTGGGGAGCCAGGGTGGACTTGTCCCACCGCTAATTTCCCTGTTAGTGTGTGTCTCATGGTGCTCTCCTGGCATCTGCACTGGGGTCTCAGTCCTCACCCAGGACTGGGGAGCAGGGGGTCCTGAGGCAGCACCACGTGGTTCAGTGGATGTTTGCAGAATACAGGATATGAAATAGAAGATGTGCAGCCCTCCCTGGGGGTTGATATCAGGATCTTTTGTACTGTGTTTGGTGGCCTGAGCATGACGTGGTCTTCAGTAATTCTGAAGTGACTCATGGGAGGAAGCCACTTAAATACGTTAGCAGGGTATTTGTAAGTTTTATTATAACATTTTTAGCACAAAAGCAAAAAATTTTAACTATTTGAAGTAAGTTTCACTTATGTTAGTATTTGAATATCTCTTCCGTCATCTATCCATCACCTGTCCATCCATCCTTCCACCTGTCCATCCATTGCACCCATCTGTTCATCCATCAACCCATCCATCTTCTCTCCATCCATCCATCATCTGTCCATCCATCCATCATCATCTGTCCATCCATCCATCATCATCTGTCCATCCGTCTATCATCTCTCCATCCAGCCATCATCTGTCCATGCATCCATCTTCTATCCACCCATCCATCCATCCATCTTCTGTCCATCCATCCAGCCATCATATGTCCATGCATCTATCCATCATCTGTCCATCCATCCATCCTCCCTCAGTCCATCTATCCATCCATCATCTATTCATCCACCCATTACTTAGCTTTCCATTGATCCATCATATCTCTGTACATCTATCCATCTGCCATTATTTGGCCCTCATCTACTTATGTCTGTTTATCCACCTAGTCTTCCCTCATGTCTGTCCATCGATCCTTCTGTCATCTCTCAGTTATCTCTCAGTTTCTCAAATATTTCGTATTCTGTGTGTTCATGTATAGAGTGATTTCCTTCAAGCAAAGTCCACATCACCACAGCTATTTGGTGTTGGTGTGATTGGTTCTTATCCCTGGTGGTCAGAATGTTCATGGGCTGGGTACTCGTCAGAACCCCGAGACCTTCCTCAGACCGCAGCCTCACTGTCTGCACCTCAGGGGTTCCAGGGGACCTTGCCGGGGCTGTGCTCAGGAGTCTGCGTTGTGCGTGCCCAGCTCTGTGACAGGGTCGAGTGACTGCACTTGAATGTGATTGCGTTTCCAGATGAGATGATTTACGATGACGTGGAGAACGGAGATGAAGGTGGGAACAGCTCTCTGGAGTACGGGTGGAGCTCAAGTGAATTTGAAAGTTATGAAGAGCAGAGCGACTCGGAGTGCAAGCATGGGCTCCCGCGGCCCTTCCTGCGCAGCAACCACAAAAAGCAGGTGCGTGTGCAGTCCGTGTGCAGGGACGCGGTGTTGTCACGTGTGCAGTCCGTGTGTGGGGACGGGGTGTTGTCACGTGTGCAGTCCGTGTGCGGGGACGGGGTGTTCTCATGTGTGCAGTCCGTGTGCGGGGACGGGGTGTTGTCACGTGTGCAGTCCGTGTGCGGGGACGGGGTGTTCTCATGTGTGCAGTCCGTGTGCGGGGACGGGGTGTTGTCACGTGTGCAGTCCGTGTGCGGGGACGGGGTGTTCTCACGTGTGCAGTCCGTGTGCGGGGACGGGGTGTTGTCACGTGTGCAGTCCGTGTGCGGGGACGGGGTGTTGTCACGTGTGCAGTCCGTGTGCGGGGACGGGGTGTTGTCACGTGTGCAGTCCGTGTGTGGGGACGGGGTGTTCTCACGTGTGCAGTCCGTGTGTGGGGATGGGGTGTTCTCACGTGTGCAGTCCGTGTGTGGGGATGGGGTGTTGTCACGTGTGCAGTCCGTGTGTGGGGATGGGGTGTTGTCACGTGTGCAGTCCGTGTGTGGGGATGGGGTGTTCTCACGTGTGCAGTCCGTGTGTGGGGACGGGGTGTTGTCACGTGTGCAGTCCGTGTGTGGGGACGGGGTGTTCTCATGTGTGCAGTCCGTGTGTGGGGACGGGGTGTTGTCACGTGTGCAGTCCGTGTGTGGGGACGGGGTGTTGTCACGTGTGCAGTCCGTGTGTGGGGACGGGGTGTTCTCATGTGTGCAGTCCGTGTGTGGGGACGGGGTGTTGTCACGTGTGCAGTCCGTGTGCGGGGACGGGGTGTTGTCACGTGTGCGGTGGGAGAGCAGGAACAGTATTCTCACACGTTGAGATCCTGAAGCCTCCTGTGCAGTTTGAGACTCCCTGTGGCCGTGGCTCCCAGTGAGGGCCGTGGCACAGTGAGGACTGTGGCCCCCAGTGAGGGCCGTGGCACAGTGAGGGCCGTGGCTCCCAGTGAGGGCCGTGGCTCCCAGTGAGGGCCATGGCCCAGTGAGGGCCATGGCACCCAGTGAGGGCCGTGGCTCCCAGTGAGGGCCGTGGCACAGTGAGGGCCGTGGCACAGTGAGGGCCGTGGCACAGTGAGGGCTGTGGCGCCCGAGGAGGTGCTAGAGTGGATGCAGCTGGGTCAGGCTCAGTGCACACAGACTTACGACGGTGCAGGCTCCGACCTCAGCAGTGAGCAGGCGGGGCTCCTTCCATGCTGGCTGAGTCAGGTTTCCTTTCACGGTTGTGGGCAGACGGACTGGGCCAGGCCTGGCTGGTGGCCATCTGCCCTCCTGGCGCTGAGTGGACCTGAGTCCCCGCTGCAAGCCAGGCGCCTGGTGGGGGCTCCGAGCTGCGTGCTGCTGGGAGAAGTGCGGGAGGTAGCAGGAGGGGAAAAGCAGGAGGGAGCACCTGCCCTTCTGCGTCCACACTGCCAGACAGCCCGGCAGGGGTGTGGCCACGTGGGGCCTCGCGGTCAGGCCCCGCTCAGGGTGGAGTTCTCAGGTTCCAGAAGCTGTGTTTCTGCAACACCTGTAAGCTGCTGGAAACCACCTCAGAGCAGCTTTTTATGAAAACTGCTGCAAGTGCCCTCGCCGTGCTTGACACAAGAGACCCCAGGGGTGCACCGGGGACGTGGGAGGCGCCAAGGGCTGGTGGACAGGTGCTGCCGCCCCCGTCAGGGAGCCCGGCGCCATCGTGGAGACAGTGCCCAGGTGGCTGTCCCCAGGCAGCTGCCCTCAGTGCAGGTGGACTCAGGCGTCTCCTGGGTCCGACGTGGGACAGGTGTCAGGCATATCTGTGTGTCGGAACGTGGCGCCCTGGCTCGGGTGCACCTGTGCTGCCATGGCACGCCTCACTCGTCTGCATGTTCATCTCTCAAGAGCCGGCACGTGCAGGCAAGCCTGCTGCGGCTGATGTCTGTCTTCCCGTCAGCCTGTCCGCCCGTTGGTCCGTTTGTCTGAGAGAGCGTGTTGCAGGCACCGTGGAGCGCCTGTGGGAACCGCTTGTGTCTCTGTGCTGTGGGTCTCATGACCGAGCCTGCTTAGAGAGCGCTAGGAGAACACAGTGAGACGCTTGATGGCAGTCCAGGCTGGTGCACGCCACCTTCGGCCAGCGCCGCAGCAGACGCCTGCTTTCTTGGGGAGGACCAGACGGTGCTGTGGGAACAGCAGTTCTCAGAAGGTGGTCCTGGGGCTCCGGGGCACCGGGGTTTCACTGTCGTGTGCAGGACTTTCTAGAAGTTCTGCCAATTGCGCGCTGGGTCCGACTGCATCTAAGGGAGATCCAGACAAGCGCAGAGCAGTGCCGCTCTTTCTTGCTGGGGAAAATACGGTTCCTGGCGTAAGTGTTATTTGACGTAACGTGATGGGTGTGCTGCCGTTGAATGCTGGCCGAGGCATGGGGAATTCCGTTGGAGCTGCTGGTGCAGGAAATGGAGATCCAGGGGAACCAGAGCTCCCTGGGCTTCTCAGTGCTTTTTCCTTAAAAGGTTCCTGGGACCAGGAAGTTTGAGAGCAGCTGGGTCTGAACGTCCTGAGGTCCGTTCTTCACTGTGGAGTAGGTCCCCTCGCGTCGGCCCTGTTTCCAGGGATACTTTGTGATTTGTCCGGGTGCTGGCTGGTGCCTCGGTGAGAGCAGGGGTCCTTCTGGGGCTCCTGGAGCAGCCACCCCCTGCTCGGGCTCCAGGAGCGGCCCCAGCCCCAGCCCCGTGGGCAGGTGCCGGCCCCCAGAGGTGGGTCCCCGGGACAGCGGCACCTGCCAGGCTCTCCAGGAGCCACCGGCTTGGTGGGAGCCGGGAGCTTGTAGAGAGGTGGCCCCCACGGAGGGTGATGCCCGAGTCTTGTTTGGACACAGGCACAGGTGTAGCAAGGGGGTCTGAGGCGAAGTGGGCGCACCTGTGAGGGTGAGATGTAAGCCTGCCCAAGGCTCCCTCAGGGAGAAGGGCTGGCGGAGGGTGGGGTGCATGTAAGCAGCCTTCCCTCCCCTACCCTCCCCGTCTGCTGCAGCCCCCACCTTGCTGCGCACCTGCCAGGCTCTGCTCCCTGGGAGGACAGCAGCCCCGGGTCTGGGCGAGAAGGAGCAGGGCCTGGCAGAGTGCTGGACAGGAAGTGGCCGAGGCCTGGTGGGGTCAGGACGTGAGGCTGGAGACCACCGGCAGTGGGAGCCCGGCGGGAACAGGACAAGGACGTGCCAGCAGAGTCGCCTTCCCGTGTGGGGTTAAGGGCCGCGCCGGCAGGGGCTGACGGCGGCGTTGATGGTTCTGATGTGGGGCTGGTGTGGCCGGGCCTCAGCATGGTTATGTGGACCTCCTCGGGAAGGGCACCTGTGGGCGTCGACGGATGCAAGGGTCAGGGCCAGGGTCGGCAGAGCCAGCGCCGGCGTCGGCAGGTGCCCTGTCCCCGGTGACGGGGCCGCAGCAAGGGGTGCACGCGCTGCCTCCTGGGAGAGGAGACTCGCTTGGCTTCCGGCATCAGGGCCTCGGGTGCTGGGTTTCAGAATGCCAGTGGGAGGCAGGTGCAGGTCTTTGGATTAGTGTTTTATAAGATTATTCGTTTACTTGAA